ACAGATAATAAATACACTCAAGGAGAGCAACGAGGTGTTTACAATTAATATCTAAACTTCTGCTGTTTGTCAAGAAGTCCCTAAATAACCCCTCCCCCAATCAAGCGAGGAGCCCAAAGGAGGTAGAAATCAGGTGGAGACATCTTCAAAAGGAATTAAAAAGCCAAAGCTGACTTTATTTCCTCCAGTCAAGTGTGAATGATGGGGCGGCCGAGGCAAGGGTGACGGAGTCTACCTGACAAACCCTGCGGCGAGGGGCTGGGGTGAGAAGTGGGGGGAATGGAGGGGTGGGGTGTCACATTGCGCTCCTTGCCTTGCGAGTACCACTTCCCTGCTCTGCGCCGACGCAATCCAACAGGTAGCCTCCTCCCCACAAATGCCCATCACCCCAAATCGCTGTGCGTTTTATCTCCTCAAAGTGACTCCCAACGGGTTTATCCGGATAGAGCTCTTCGCAAGTTTTTCAGATTTGTCCATTTCTAGGAATTTGCATGTTTTAAGGGAAGCTGAACCGCGAAGGCTCAGGTTACACTTTAAAATCTGCGATGCTTCTGCGCGCCCCCCGCCACTTGGTAAGGCTCCATTGCTTCTTTTAAAAGAAGAAGAAGAAGGAAAGAACACTGTTTTGAGAGTTTGGGATTCTCCCCGCCCCCGCCTCCCCCCCCCCCCCCATGCACTTTTGTCACAACAATTCAGAAGCAGTTGTCATTGCTTCTCAAAAACCTAGTTTCCCGCCGGCCGTCTGGAGGGTCGCAGAGCCCCTGCTCAGAGTGCCCTCTGCGCCTCCGCGCGTTCGCAGGGACTTCACGGCTGGGCCATCTAGAATTTGCATTCATCATTTAAGTCAGGGGCCCCGCTGAAAGCGACTGGAAAGTTCGACGGCTGGGTGGCCCAGCAGCTGAGTAGGCCTGGCAGTCAATCATCAAAAATAAAACAATTGATACCGTTAGCTGCAAAGGCCCCTACGGACGCCTGCCTCCAGGGCAGTGCAGGGAACCCGAGGACCCCAGATCTCCGCGGGTTCGCGCCCTGCCTCCGGGGACAATTCAGCCAGGAGGGTCCCTGTCCCATGGGTTAGCCAAAGACGTACAGCCAGGAGGGGAAGGGGGGCAGGGACCAAGAGGAGAAACAACGGAAAGAGCCAACCTTTAAACGTAGTCTAATTCTTTAAGGAGGTGAGTACAACGTTTCTATGCAGACAGGTGAGGCTCCTCCGGGTAGATTAAGGGTGAGGACAGAGATGGAATGGGGGGGGGCAGTAGTTGCTCGTCGCTTGTTTGGTCTTCACATCTTTTCTAGCAGCCCAGGTAGGCTGGAGGCAAAACCCTGAGAAGGCGATGGCGACCTTCCCGCCTGGACCAGTTCTCTAGAAAAGGGAGGAGGGGCGGTGAAAGGCAAAACTCGGCCTTGGTATTGCCCCTCCCCAACACCCATAGGAGGCCCGGGTTCCCCATTAAATTTACATTTATTCACTCATTCCACAACTATTCATTCAGCACCTAGCATGTACCAGACACTGTATTAGGCTCTCAAAAACGCAGTATAAATGGAAACCGAGAGCCTAAGGATTGGCTCCCTGGACTGTTTTAAGATCAGCAGGCATCTTGGAATCGCCAGACTTGCCGCTCCACAGATTCCAGCGCTGGGCAGTCGGACACAAGGAAACATAACTTCAGCATAACTTTTACTTCTCCTTTCCTTTTTTCTTTTTTGGAGTAGCAAAGGACCATTAATTAGAAGAATAATTACTGCTACCCTATATTATCCCAACCTGTTCAATTTCTATCTGGTGCAGACAATGCTAATAATGGCAATTATTGCTTCTATAAACATCCTGAGGCAACACACTTCTCCCGCAGTGTGTGTGTGTGTTTAAAGAATATATATAAAAAGTTCCCCCGCTCATTTGCATAGCTTCATCTTTACCTTTTCCCATTCAGCCCTTGCAAAAAGCATATCTATTCAAAGCCCTTGCAAAAAGCATATCTATTCAAAGGGCATTTAGTCCATTTCTTTCTTGGCCGGTAAACCTATTCATCAATTGTTCTGCCTTGTAGATCGCATTCTAATGCTAATCTAGCGTGTTAAATATCTTTTTGTTCCCCTTTCACCGTTTTGTCATTCAGTTTATCCAGTTTTGGTCACCCATTTTATTTATTTATGCGCCTGCTCCTATTCAGGGGCTCATGTATTTTTTATTATGTTGTTTCACTGTCACGCAGTGTCAACTTAGTCTATTCAATGGGGGCTACTTGAAGGCCGGAGGGACAAAGCGTGTACACATTGCACCGCTATTCATTCCGGCCAGCTGGATCGGCTGAAAAAAAAACCTTGTGAAAAGAAACGCCTCACAATGGACACAGAAGAAGTGCACAATGCTAACAGTTTTCCAAATACCACTGATTGGTTTCTTCACAATGAGGAGAAAGCCGCCGCTTTTTCTTAGCTCCACTTCAACAAACAACACTCTCACAAAACCTCCCAACCCTGCGTTTTGTTCCCGGACAAAACCTCCTCGACTGTCTAAACGCTCCCACTGAAGGACAAAAAAAAGAAAGAAAGAAAGAAAGAAAGAAAAAGAAAGAAAGAAAAGAAAGGATAAAAAAAAAAAAAAAGCTCTTTTCACTATTTCCCCTCCTTTTTTTTTCCCTGCAAGAGAGAAAAAAGAAATGGAGGGGGGAGGGATTGTCAGTGAATTAATAATATCAGTCTTTTAAAAGAAGAGGGCTGACCTTTGAGATGCACTGGGCTGAGGGAGAAAGAACGGGGGAGAGATTAATAAAGTTTGGACGGCGCTCTCCGCCTCCGCTGCGCTGCGGGCGCAGGAGAGACGCGGCCACTTCGGGCGGGCGAGTTGCGGGAACTTCGCTCGCCCCGAGGCGGCGGCGGCGGCGGGGAGCGCCCGCGCCGAGTCGCGCTCTGATTGGCTGGCGCTCCGGTCCCTATCTGTTCCGCGAAGACGGTGGAATCTTCTGTCCATCTTCTGCGCCCCTCGCCGAGGCAGTCCCGAGCCTGGGGGTGAGAGGGAGATCCACGCTTTCTTGTTCTAGTTTCGGGGGCGGTGTGGGGGTGGGGGGAAGTTGTCAAATGAAGTGACAATAGCAGCCAGCTCCACTGCTCCCCGGGAGCCACCCCGAGCCCGGCAGGGTCCCCCAGCTCCGTCCTTACGGCTCAAACAGAACCATTCCACCTGTTTGCGCAAAGCCAGAAGGCAACACACGCCTGGCCCCTCAGATGTGAAGCTTGTTTGAAGCCCTTAGGCAACTGTGACCCCCTAAGAAATGTGGCTTTTTTAAACCTTAAAAAGAAACGAAAACGGAAGAACAAGAAGGAAGGGAAAGAAGGAAGGAAGGAGAAAAGGAAGGGAAGAAAGAGAGAGAGTGATGGGTAGACAGAGAGAGAGAGAGATCTCGAGCCAGCAACAGCTCTTTGCCTCGTCCTAGCGCTATATTTGTGGGTCCCTCTTAGGCACACATCCGGCCCTTTCTCCACGTCCTCTTGCCCCAGAGTCGCTCCCCCTTAATTCTGCACAGTCTAACTTGGCAGGAGGCTTGCTCCAGGCGTAAAACCCGCCAACTTGTTAGCAAGCCCGCTGGAGTCAGAGTGGTGATAAACGAGTCACCCCTGTGGCCCTGTGGACTTACTCAAACAGCCGCACAATCTGCTGGCGATGTGACCCTGCGTGCTCACCCCTGGCATCCTCCCCCCTCTCCTTCCCCATCTTTCTAGTCTTCTTCTCATTCATCAACACTCCGGAGCATTGCTCCCAGAAAAGGCTCATCTTTGGGAAAAAGGGAGGGGCGGGCAGTCTTCAGGCCGGTGGGGCCGAGCTGGAAGCCTCAGGGAGGTAACTAAGATTTAGGGCTGGGGTGATTTCCAGCGAGCCGCAGGAAGTTCCGTGTTGAGAAGTGATGGGCTGCTACAAAAGGGAAAGACGAAGCCTTGAAAGGATTTAATTAACCGTGTCAGGGATAATTACCCCTGGACAGTCCAAATTAGTTTTGCATAATCGCTCAGAACCATATGAATTAACTTATAATATTGCAAAGAGCTCGGGGAATAACAGGATAGGGATCGTTTTAATTAGTGAATCGGGGTCAAAACCAGCAGAGCCTATTTCTCACATTTCTAAAACTTTTCATGGTTTTTAAAATATTATTCCGTTGGGGGAAAACAATGACTTTAAAGAGTTAGGTCGCTTATAAAGACGTGCAGCTCCAGAAACGGTCTGTCAAAGGGTAAACTAGTTTAGGACTAGTTGAGTCTTGTATCTTGAGAATTGGTATCTCAGTTGGGGGGGAATAAAGATCACCCTACAGTTAATTTTTTTTTTCTCTGCTATTCTTCCTGGTGCCCTATAATTTCTTTTCTAAAATTAAAATCCTTTGTGATTTCAAAGCTTTCTCCAGTGGAAACTTGTCCAGCCCTGGAAATTCAACCCTCTCTATTAGAATTTGTTATACTTCTGTTTTAATGCCATTAGCATGACAGAATAAAGCCCGAAAGAGGCCAAAAGTTGTACATTGTCGTTAGCAGTGGTTATCCTTCCAAACAAAGTCTTAAGGTGTAAACAAGGAATATGCCAAAGATACGCAAACAAATTACACCGATTTAAGCGGTGGGGCTGTCCTACTAACAAGATAAAGTGGTCAGGCAACTTTCCCCTCTTAGAATGTTACTGGAAACTACTGAAATGCTTTGAACAGTCTGGATGTTTTCAATGGACTCTGTTCTACTGGTTCATGAATGCCTTTTTTTTTTCCAAGATAATACAACTACTTGGGTTTTTTTTTTTTTATCTTCTTTCCTATTCACGATTAAAAATGTGATAAATCAGGTTTTTGGCTCTGAATAACAATGGCTTGATTTAGATTTCCTAGTAAATCTACTCAAAAGCGAACAAAGGCTGCCTTTGGGGGATACCTTACGCTTCACCTGGACCAGGCACGTAGGGCGATTCAGATAGAAATCTCGTTAGGAACTCAACAAGCAATAGAGGATTTTCTCTTTTCCCTGGTTCAGGCTTTATTTAAACTCTTTGTTCAAAAAAAATGAACAGAGTGATAGTCGGATTCTAATTTACAGATATAGTTTAGACGTCTAATATTAAATTAGATCACACAAGAAAACCATTTACACATAAAGGTTAAAACCAATACTTAAACTTTTAAAAACTTTATATTACATAAAGCCAAAAGGAAACTAAATACATGTTAGCCAACTTCATTCACAAACATTAGTCAAAATATATACATTTAAAAAGAAACAAAAAAGCTATAATTGAGGAGGGTTCTTTTCTCTAAAATGTGTTTTATCATAACTTGCAAATGAATTGCAAGTGATCTAAAAAATAAGCTAATTGGGGAGGGAACTCCAAAACACATTTAAACAGTTAAAGTTGGTGGAGAAATACTAGCTGAAAATGAGAGACATCTGTCGAAACAATTCTGGGTTTCTTTTTTTCAGTTTTGCTAAATAATAAATATATAATTACCACTCAGACAAAAAAGTCTGATTTAATCTTAGATAAAACTGCGATTCTGAAATAGTCCCGCAATTTTTAAAAGTTAACTTTGACATTTGCTCAAAATGCTTTAGAGTCTAAAACCGACTCAAATTTAGGGCAACGCAAATAACACATTTTCAAAGACTCAAAGTTTTCACGGACATATACACATTTACATCTTAAGGTGAACTGAGCCATAAGCGGAAAATAGGAGCCGTGTCTTTTTCCTTCCTGTAAACCGTGTAAGAAATCCAAGCAAGCGGACTCAGGGAGACTTCTAGTAGTTTTGTTTTGTTTTTTTAAGGGAAAAAATCCAATTGACAGCTTTTCATCTCACACATATTTCTTGTTTGCCTTCCTTGCTCTTGAGAAAGAGCCCTTGTTCTGATTTGCATATGGCGTGATAAACAAAAGAAACCGGGATCATCTCACATACAAAAGGCCAGATTCGAGCCGGTCACTGGTCAAGAACGGATCCGGTCTGGGGTTTCTGCTTGAGAGGACTGCGATTTGCAAAGTTCAAACAGTAAAACACGGAGCAAGGCTGCTCAGAGCCGTCCCGCTCCGAGAAACTAATGACACTGCTCAGCTTTTCCCTTGTGCCAGCCATTGCAGACCTAACATTTGAACAGCGTGCATGCAACGCAGACCAGGAGAGGGGGGCGGGGAAAAGGAAGATAATGAGGAAAAAAACCAAAACCGACAATAAACTTCCAACAAACAAAACTGGAAAGCCCAACATGTCAAAAAGTTACTCCTCCGTCTCTGTGGGCCAAAACGCAACAGGTTCCGAAGTGCAAAGCAAACACCAACTGCTGCCGGATACAACCGCCCTCTTTAAAGTTGGCTGCCGAAGTGCAGGTCTGAAATGATCCCGTGAATCCACACGCACACTCGCCCGCGCACTCGCGCGCTCGGCCACTCGCGCCCCGACTGGCATCTCTGCCTCTGCCTGGCACCTATACATCTTATGTACATACAAACCGGGGCCCCTGCCGCGGGAAGGCGCAAGGGGAGGCCATAGAGCTCGTACCTATACATATGTACACGTGTGCACACCGGTCCTCGCAAGGCGGCCCCGCGGGGTCATAGCGCGGCGGCGTAGGCCGCGGGGTAGGGGTCCAGCTGAGGCTTGCCCATGCCCGGCAGCAGGATGTAGGCGAGCGGCGGCTGCAGCCCGGGGCTGGGCCACGCGCTGCAGTTGCACGGGATCATGTAGCCCGGGTTGCCCGGGCTGGGGTGCGAGTGCGTGTGCCCCCCGGCGGCCGCGGCCGCCGCTGCAGCCGCTGCCGCCGCGCCGTGGAAGGCGCCCGCGCCGGCGGTCGGGTAGCCCAGCGACGAGGCGTACGGGAGGCCGGACGACGACGACGAGATCTCTGCCATCTTAGAGCCCAGGTCGAGCAGCGAGTAGGGGCTGCCGGCTGCGGCGGCTGCAGCGGCTGCGGCGGCGGCGGCGGCCGACTGCGGGAAGAAGACGCGCGCGGCGGCGGCGGCGGCGGCTGCGGCCGCCTTCTCGGGGTTGGCGAGCAGAGACTCGGGCACCAGGCCGCCGCCGGCGCCCGCGTGCAGCCCGGTGCCCGCCTTGAGCGCCGGGTGCTCGGCGTCGGCCACGCCGCCCAGGCCGTAGGGCACCGGGAAGGCGAACTTGTCCTTCTTGAGCAGCGTCTTGGGCTTGCGCCGCGGCCGGTACTTGTAGTCGGGGTGCTCCTTCATGTGCATGGCGCGCAGGCGCTTCGCCTCGTCGATGAACGGCCGCTTCTCCGACTCGGTGAGCAGCTTCCACTCGGCGCCCAGGCGCTTGCTGATCTCCGAGTTGTGCATTTTGGGGTTCTCCTGGGCCATCTTGCGCCGCTGAGCCCGCGACCACACCATGAAGGCATTCATGGGCCGCTTGACGTGGTCGACCGGCTTGGACATGCTCTCGCTGTGCCGCGGCTGCAGCCCGCCGCCACCGCCCGGGCCGTCGCCCTCGGCCCGGAGGAAATCAATGTTGGCTATCCGCGGGGACCCGTTCGGCCCGCCTGCGCTCGCCGCACCCCACTTTGCGCCCCGGCGTCGCTCCCGCCCGGGAGGAGGGGGCTGGGGGACCAGGCCAGGGCCGCGCCGCGCTCCCGGCCGCCCTGGTCTCTCCGGCCAAGCGCTCGGGAAAATCCTCTCCCCGGCCCTATAACTTCTCGGCGGTGCCCCCACCCCACGGTGACAGTTTGCCCTTCGCTTTCTTTTTGTCCTTCCGCTCCAGTTGCGGTTGTTGGCGAACTCCCGGCAGGTAGCCGCTGCCCGGCAAAGCTCTCCCCCTCCTCGGTCTTTTTCTCTCTTAAATGCACAGCGGCCCGGAAAGTTGCGTCGCGGAGGCTCCACCAAGTTGAGCCGAGGACCCCGCCGCCGCGTGCTGCCAAGTGCCAAAGGGGGCTCTCGGCGGCTGGAGTGTTTGGGTTCTCCTCGGTGACTTTCTCATTTGACAGTAGCAGATGGGGGTGAGGGGAGGAGCGGAGGTGGCCCCCGAGGAGGAAGAGGAGGGGGAGGTGGAGGAGGGTCCGGGAGCACTGCGGGAACGCAGAGCAGGGCACTGGATATAAATACAAATATAGCAGCACCAGCCGATCTTCCTGGCTAGGGGCAGGGCGCACTGATAGGAGCCCCCCGCCAGCCCCGCAATCGGCTGGGTTTTTCGGGGGGAAGCCGTCCGCGCCACCAGCACCTGCCTCGCGGGTCTTCCTCTCCGGCTGCCAGGCAGGGAAGGAGGTGGAAGGAGGCTGGAGCAGCCAGGCGTTGCCAGGCCTCAGAGGAAGTCCTCCCGGCTCGCCGAGGCGCCGCGTCTCGCCGTCCCCGGGGCCATGCTGGCTCCTCTCGCTCCGAGCACCTCCAGGCGCGCCGGCCGACTGGGCTCCCGGCGCACGCCGGGCGTGTAGAGTGGCGCTGCCCCGGCGCCGGGCGGCGAGCTTGGCCCGGCCGCGTCCCCTCTCGCTGCGCTCGGCCGCCGCCCGGCACTTGCAACTAACTTCGCGCAAGTTTCCTGCGCCGGCGCCGCCGCGCCCTGTAGTCGCGCTCTCCTCGCGGCGTGTGGCCGCCTGTGCGCCGCGCCCGGGCTCCTCTCTCGGCGGCTCTCCGGACAGAGCCGAGCAGGCGCGGAGGCGGAGGTGCTGGAGGAGGGGATTTAAGGAAAACGCGCCATCACCTCAGTTTGCAGGTCCGCTCTGGGGCTGTTCCCGCCTTCCCCACTCCCGCAGCGTCTGGGCCCCTTCCTGGCCCAGGCCGCCGCTCCAGAGGCGACAGGAGCCCTGTGCACGGGCTCAGGTAAATGTTGCTACCTGTGTGTGCACGCGGCCGGAGCCAGTGCTGGGTGTGCATGTCCAGCCGCGGCTGAGTGTGTGTATATCTGGGGACTTGAAGAGGAGGTGGAGCCGAGGACTCCAGGAGGGAGGAGGGACCAGCAGAGCCTCCTCCCGCTCCCACACCCCCAGGACCTCGAATTAAACAGGATCCCCTCCACCTCCTCCCCCCCCCCCCACACTCCTCCTCCCACCTCTTTTCACTTGAGAGCAGGTTTAGGCGAGTGGAGAGCTGGGAGCGCGCCGTGCAGTCTGCGCACTGTTTGGCGTTGGCAACCCTTGGTGTGATCCCTGCTACCCTGGCCGGCCGAGCAGCGCTGGTCGCCGCTCTGGGATCCTCCACCCTGAGGAAGGAGGCACGCACCAGGAGGAGAGCCTCGGGAACATCGGAGGAAAAGGGGACGCGCCCTAGAAAATGTTGGAGACTTTTCTCAGCAAGAAAGTGTTCCTTTTCCTTGGAGGTCCAGATGTTACTTGCAGCAGATGCTTCCTGCATTTTCTTGCACTGGTGATGCACCCAGTCAGAGGTAGTGGAGTGAAAAATAACAGAAGGGACTGAGCGTGCTCTTGGCAACCGTTTCGAAAAGGAGCTAGCCCAGCCTGAGAGTAGGCATCCTTGACTGACTGACTATTCAGCTCTTTAAAAATTCTTGGTGTTTTTGTCTTGTTTTGTTTCTATTTCTGGTCGTCAGAGCCATCTATAAGCTGATCTCTTTAAGGTACAGTTAACTTACAGTATCTCACTTAAATGCGCAGATAGGGTGAAGGTGTTCAAAATCAATAAGAAGTGTAAAACGTTTCTCTGAAAGAAAATACCCGTCGCTCTATACTGAAATATTTTTATCTGTTAAGCAGTTTTCTTTAGTAAGAGCAGTCTTCTCCTTAGAATTGACATGATGCAAAAATCAAGCAGCATAATTTTGTTTGCATATTTTTCTCCCTGGTTGGTGTGCTGCAGCACTTTTATATCGTGATCAGTCGGTGGGGTTCGATTCACAAGTTGGCCTGCCCTTCTGGGAGACCTGCCTGCCTTCTTTCTCGGGCAGTTTGGATTTGACTGAGCCATGTGTTGTGTGCAAGTAGGAAGTTCTGTAAGTGGTCAACTTTTTAAGGCTTCCCTGTGATCTATGTTCTACTCATACACAGACACACAGGCCCAAAGCTTTGATTGTAATTATGAACTTAGAACTGGTTTAGGCCATCAGATTTATTTAAAGGTTAGGCTCATTTTATTGCTCTTTTTAATAAAGGAATAGTGATTATTGCTTTAATTTTAGTTGCTGTGAGGATATATAGAAATGTGAATCAGCAGTGAAATGTGTGGCAGTCTGTATGTTTCTTAAAATGTCATATTTACAAATGTTTACTTTGTATCAGTTAGGCTCTTGGATTGCTGAAGCAATTGGACTGATTTCTCTAGAACCATATTCTTTTACAGGCTCTATAAGACTGTCATTCACAGACTCTGGGTGGAGCAACCTTAAAACACTAGCGGGTATAATTACATAGACTAGAATATTAAGTATACTGTTTTGTGATGATAAACTACAAAATTATCATCCTTGAGCTTTTAACCTACTACTTGTATAATAGGTTTGAGACAAAAATATTATACACTGTCATACAAAGAACATATGTAATAGGGATGCAAGATATGAAAAACTGTTATTCACTGAACATTGGGAATAAAGTTCAGTCTAATCATGAAAATTATCTTGACATATACAAAACGATATGGATTGAGGAAAGATATTTTATATTTATGAGTTAAATTATAATATATTCTTTTCAAATTTAAGTTTAAAAATCTATTGCACTAAATTATTAACATGGAAAGAAATGTTTGTATTTGTGATTGAAATGTATGCTTATATATGCAATATCTTACAAAAAATAAAATACATAAGCTTCCTTGGATATAGTTTTGTGAATTGTGCAATATTGCCTGCTTAGTGATATTCAATGAACCAAATTTGAAAGTTCTAAAGTCCAAGAATGTTGAACTGTGGAAAACAAACGTGCTTTCCACACCTAAAAAGAATACGGCTGTTTGTATGCTTGTCTGTCTATTCACCAAATAAAATTTCACACATTTCAAAATAGGACAGATGTGGTTTCCCATTTCGGTTTTTAAGGGATCAATATTCCTGGCCTACACCCTTCCCAACCAAGGCGAGGCCCTCATAGGAAGCTGTGCAGGAAAAGAAGACAGCATGCCACTGTTATTAACCAGCTTCACACCTCTCGCCTGAATCGAGTTGAGCTTTTCACAAAGTAAAGTTTTTGTGCCATTCTCTTCCTTATATACCAAAATGTAAATTCAATTTTAATTTCCACAGATCTTAAATTTGAATTGATAGAATGTTATATTTTTGTTCTTGTACACTTTTGACCTAAAGATGAAAAATACCAAGATATGGGAAAGACAATAGCCCGTGCGAGTGAATAGTGAAGGAAAAATAAACTGAACGAGATAATTATAAGTTCGATGGACTTTCTATTGTGAACTCCTGATTGTGAGCACCAGAGACCAGTGTACCATGATCAGTAGAGTCTGTGTGGGCTCTGTCTGTGCCTGGTGGCCACAGTAACACCCCTGATCACAAATATATCTAATCAGAAACTGAGGGACAGGCACTCTCTCAGAAAAAGTTTGGGGGTCTCTGTAAATTCAGTTTCTTCTTTTTCCCCTTAAGTCCTCCCTGGTAAATGGTCTTTTTTCCATTCTAAAACTTTCACTAGGAGGCAGCAATGAGGTTGCTGGGGAATAAAAAAATATCTTGGCAACACCAGACTGACTGGCTTTCTTCCTCTTTCTCTCTCTCTTTCTCTTCCATAAAAGAGAGGAAAATGTTTGAGTCCCAGTGGAAGACAAGAGATCAGAGTGAACTAAATCATTTTCCTCCATCCTTTCTGTCTCCTCTCCCTCACTGGATTTTCACCAAGATGGCTCACAGTCATATTTTTCTAGAACCCTGGAGGTAGTAAGCCACGGCAAAGAAAGCAAAGCAATGGGATACTGAGAGGTGACCAGATGGAAGTGACTGGGCAGTAAAGGTGAGGCCTTCCAAGCGCAGAGGTCAAGTCATGAACCTAGAACACCGAGAGCAGGCAAACAGAGTTAGAGAGCTTTGGGTTCTGGTCTTCAGCAAGTGCAATGAAAGAATTCATAAGCTTTCATTGCCGTGTAGAAAAGTAATACAGCCTGTTGGTCCTGTTAAAGAGGAAATGAGCAAACTGCGACAAAACCCAATGTTAGGCTTTTGTCCCAGTTCTCTAGCCTTGCCCCTCTAGATCCCTAGTTGTACTGTCAGAGTCACTCCCATCAGCCCCCAAAAGGGGAAAAATCCCAAACACAGAGCTCACATAAAGCTGGAGAGACAAGAAGAGGAGTTGAGTCAGTCATGGCAGGGGTGAACGGCTTCAGGAGTGGCCCTTTCTGGTTCTGCTAAACTGCCATCTTTTTGAGATTTCTGTCCCTTTGTGCTCACTGCTCCTGCCATCCATGGACACTGGGACACTGGATAAATGATAAGCAGCCCTTTCCTCATTCCTCCTTAGCAGTCCTCATGCAGGCTGGCATTTTCAAAAGGAGCTTTACCTAGACGACACA